GCCATAATTGAGACTAAACGAAAAAATTAATTCTTAATTCGTGGCCATAATGTAGTCTTAGCATAAAAGAGAACTAGCCTATTCTAAATTCGTTGGCCGTGATTGTCTGCATGTCATGATCGGGGCTCCGTACAACCGAATATAACCTTAGCCTACCTGTTTATTCATTTATTATGGTATGTATGCTCACCTTTTGCGGCACCATATTTGCGTAGCACATCCTCGTGCTTTCTGGCAATGTGCCGCTTCAGATTCCAATATGAATCTTTACTAACTCTCCCCGCACTCCCTCTCAGTTTCTTCTCCCTGCTCATTCTTAACTTCGATTTTTTTACTTTACATTTAATGTATAAGGCTTGCAACTTCGTTGAAACAATATCTGAACTCCATAACTGATCTACTATTCTCGATCTCTACAGATTCTCGATCTCTAACAAGCAAATCACTAAAGGGCATTCTGGGTTGAGCGAGCGAGCGGAGCGGAATCTTCAGAAAGGCGCTCTGCGCTCTTAAGGAAATATTACCACTCCGCTCACGCTCCGCTCTGCTCACATGCTCTGATTTAGACACCAATGAGACCAGTAGCTCTACATTCATCTTGCCTCAATGCATCTTCCTGGTCTACTTACTTCCTCTTCGTCATTAGGTATCAATGTGTGCTTGGCAAGACCGTTGTGTGCTTGAGCACCACCAAGTCGTGTTTTACTGTAACTTCAAGCAGCTCCAGGCACGTGAACAAAAGCGGCAATCTCATCGGTCGGCCAGTTTTTAACGCAGCGTGTCAAACCAAAAAAACAAGCCCTAGGCGGTTTTAAAAAAAATTATGCTTTTATGCCTCGTGTTTTGCGCATCAGTGTGCCCACTCACATTGGCACCCTTTGTTTAGTCACGAGGCGTTAAACGTTGGCGATAATCGCGCGCATTATTCGTCCCAGTGTGAACAAGCCTTGATATGCTGACTTGGTACTCAAGAAACAATCTTATTATTATCAATGTTGAAAACAGTTGTGCTGCTTAATGGAAATATTACCACTCCGCTCACGCTCCGCTCTGCTCACATGCTCTGATAAATAACAAAATAACTAAAATTACACTGGTTTCTGAAAAATAAAAGTTTGGTCATGTGACCTCAATATGGAGTCAGCCTGGACCATTTAAAATAAAACCGCTTTTATTAGGCTTCTGATACAAGTATAGTCTTCGTGTCATGTATGTCTATGTATATTTTTCAAACGTACATATTTTTTTCAAAAATATTATTAATTTCTTTGTGTTAACCCAGCTAACAAGGAACATTCTCAGAATGTTATCTAATGTTCTGGCAAGGTTCTCTCAAAGTTATGAACAAACATTCTTCCAGTAATGTTAATAGAACAATCATTCAGAGTTATTGGGTCTTTAAAAATATTCTCAAAACGTTAGCACAAAAACAATTCATGGAACGTTTAATTTCATCTGAATTTTTAAAATGTTGCTTCTCGTTTCAGAATGTTCAGAAGACATTCAAAAATTACATTCACATAATGTTTGTATGTTCCCTTAACATTTGAATAACCAAGAAAAAATGTTTTCAAAACATTTGTTTTAAATGGACATTTTGAATGTTCAGAACATTCAGAAATTAAATTTTCATAACTTAATGAAAGTTAGCAAAACATTCTTAGAACATGTCTGTTAGCTGGGAAACTTTTATTTTTTAAAGAGGAATACATTTATGAGTGTACCTTAATCTGAAGAAGATACTGAATACTGAAAAATCTTTTTAAAGAATCAAATCAAGTTGTACTATAATAAAGTGATGTGCGATTTTTTTTTTTTCTTCAGATGCGTGGTGGTAAGCTGATGATTTCTCACACCTGGAAAAGTGACGCAGGCATGTACGTATGCGTAGGCACCAATATGGTGGGCGAGAGAGACAGTGATCCAGCCGAACTCGTTGTGTTTGGTAAGTCCAATTTCCTGGCTCATTTTTTTGGTTTCACAAAGGAGTGAAAATAATCAGTGTGTGATATGTGTGTGACTGTGTGAGCAGAGAGGCCAGTGTTCATCCGCAGACCTGTGAATCAGATCGTTTTGGCTGAGGAGACTGTTGACTTCTTATGTGAGGTTCATGGAGACCCGGCTCCGACTGTCCGCTGGAGCAGAGACGAAGGAGAACTACCGCGGGGGAGGCAAGACTCCGTTTACAAACATTTGTGATGCTGTTACAGCACTTTTATAACCGTTTCTGATTTAACTAAACCCAAAACTAGTCATACAACTTATTTGCAAAAAGGTAACCTACTGCAATAACAATCCGTTTAACAAAACGTAAAACAAATCAGAACCTCTCATTGAATGCAAAATATCATTTATATTTAGTAAAAAATCAAGCATAGCAACATTATTCTCATTAAATCAAAACACACAAAGAGAACCAAAATGTAAATAGAATTGAAGACAGATCATGAATGTCCATGAATTAGCTGCAATGGAGTGAATAAAGTCTTATCTGAATTCCAAGTTCCCACAATGTCCAGAGTATCCTCCAGCCAATTTGATATCTTAATCCCTTTTCATTTTGTACTCAAGCCTCAAAGATCATGGAACAGCTGTACAAAGGTGATATTTGCCTGATGAATTGAAGACTATGTATGGTCAGAGACCATAATCCTCCAGGTAACACACAAAAAGCCCTTCTACAAAAATCAAAGAAGCCATAATAAACAAATAGTCCAAATATTATAATTCAAACACTTCCAAAACCAAAAGAGAAAATAAGTTAGACACATTTCATACTCCATAATAACATCACTTACTTTCAGTTGAGCATTAAAACACAGGTTTCCCAACAAAGACTCAAGAAGCATATGGCAAGGCCATGCTTTAGCTTTTGCATGCCACGTCCTCTCCTTCTACCATATGACTTGACTTATACAAAAAAACATGTTGCCCTCCACTGCCCCCAGTGGTGAGGAAGATAACAAGTCCTATAACAGGCCTGTGACTGTTATACCTTTATGGAGCTCAAATGCCAGTTTAATTACTTTTATGTAGTCTCAGATTAGAACATTCCTATTTCCGTTATAGTTGAGTTAGAGAAGCAGAAATCTCATAAAACCAATAAACCTCAAACTGAGGAATAATATTTATTGCATAATACAGCATTATACAACAAAACCTGAGAGATTTCTGTCCCTCCACTGAAAGTCTGTTACACCAAAACTTAGACAATTCAAGAAATTCATGAAGATATGTGCTTCCATTTAACGTATTTGATAAGCTCTACTGTGTGTATGTATGCTGATCATTGTTTATAAGATAAACAGATTTAATTTAGGCTTTTATTCACATATAAAGTAGGGCTGCACAATACTGATGAAAAATGTAATATGCGATAATTTACGTATTTGCGATATGATAATGCTTTAAATGTGTCATTTAAATTATATTTAAACATATTTAAAAACAAAAAATTACATAAACATTTTTTGGCACTAAATTGTTGGCAGCAGCTGCGAGTGACTCATCTTTTCAGACTAGTTAACTAGTCATCATGACAGCTTAATGACAATCGTAGCAGTCACGTGGCTAGTTTATTCTCTGCTAAATTAACTGCAATTCTCAATATAGCAATGGAAACGGAAATCACATTGTAGAGTGATTTGAACTAATGAAGCAAAAGGTTGTTAGATTTTATTGGCAGTAAGGCATACAATATGCTATTTAAAAGAAAGCTCTCTTGGCCAACAATTTTAGAGGTTTCAGTCTTTTCCCATTCAAATGGATTGCTGTAGCTGTTTGACTAGAAAGATGACCGCCAAGTGAACTGACTTGAATCTTGATCCCATTTCCATTCTCTCCCCAAATAGTTTGCTGTCTCCTTTCTACTGTCAAATAAAAAGTGGCAAAAGTCCCAAGAATAAAATATAACTAGTGTTTCCTAGAGTTTGGGGCACAATACAGTGCAGTACAGTGGCATATTTGATGGAGTCTCACAGAAATGTCCTCTTAGAGAGCGGAGGGATGTAGACAGGCTGTAGGAGGAATGTGCGATGACTGTTCAATCTGCTCTCCTCACGGACAACCACTGTCTCTTTTCACCTTCTCGGCCGAGTAGATTTGAGATCCGTGGTGACAACACCCTGCGTCTGATAAGGGTCAGAGCAGAGGACGAGGGCACTTACACGTGTGTCACAGAAAACAGCGTGGGCAAAACCGAAGCATCCGCTGTGCTGCAGGTCCACGGTAAGACGCACAGGCATGCATCCTTTTACATGTGTGTCGACACACATCACAGCGCACCTGAAATATGCATCACAAAGAAGCAAGCTGATGCATATGTTGCCACTCATCTCCATTAAACAGACCTCACCGCAGCCATTTGAACCTGTCAGGCACAATCAGTCTGATCTGTGTGAAGTCACCTGGAAGGATTTATCAGCTCCTCTGTTGTTGCTCAAATGGTAGCTCTGTTCTAGTGCGCTGCCTCATTGCCTAGATAGCCAGCTGACTTCTAAAGCCCAAAGTATACTCCGTTTTGATGCAAACACTTAGCATATGCATTCGGATGAACACATATGCTAATTATGACATTTACGCAATGCTCACTGCACACATAAAACCGAAGTATAATTTTGCTTTAAGTTGGCATCCTGACTGCCATGGAAGTGACTGATTTAGAATCTTTTGCATAGGCAGCAACACAAATAGCAAGAGACTCGACTCACAATTGGTTTCATTAAAGATCATGTTCGCATGTTGATAAGATAACATAAGCTAACGTAATACTGAACTAAGCATGAAATACAAAAACATTGGGTTCAAATTTTTTTTAGACTGAACTATTTTTCTTTTGAACTACTGATACTTTTCATTGTTTAATTAAATTTACAGTACCGTGCAAAAGTCTTAGGCCATTAGTATTTTTTTTCACCAACAAAAATAAAGACTTTAAGCCAGTTATTTCTATCTTTTGTAGTGTGTCAGTAGGAAATATCAGTTTACATTTACAAACATTTCTTTTGCCATTTATTATAATAATCCAGTGAGATTTTTGTATGCACAAGGAGTCTGACAACAGCCAGTGCTGCACACAAAGATATGATCTCACCACCATCCAGTCCGTCTAGAATTACATGTGTAAAAGGGTGGTCACACCAAATATTAATTTGATTTAGTTAAAATAATTTAATTGATAAATAAAATCTATTTATGACATTATTTTTTGAAAACATCCTCACTTTACAGCATTTTTACACAACTGCCTAAAACTTTTCACAGTACTGTAGCTTTGTAGGGAGGTTTCTTCAAGTGTCTCGGAGAGGTTGCCACAGTTCTTCTGGATTTAGTCTGTCTGTTTCTTCATGTAATTCCAGACAGACTGGATGATGGTGAGATCAGATCTCTGAGTGGAGCACTGGCTGTTGTCAGACTCCTCGTGCATACAAAAATCTCACTGGATTATTACAATTAATGACGAAAAGAATGTTTGCAAATGTTAACTCATATTTCCTACTGACACACCACAGCAAAAGATAGAACATTTTTGTTTTTTGTAGGTGAAAATAGTAATGGCCTAGGACTTTTGCACAGTACTGTACATTTTAAGATAAAAAGTTTTATACACCTCATCCACCATCTTGGATTTCGTTTTTCTCTGAGCATATGTGAAACTTCTGTCATTATTTACTCACCCTCATGTTGTTCCAAAACTGTTTCTTTCTTTTATTATGTGGAACATAAAAATAAATACTAAATAAATAAGGACATACATAAAATAAATACATAATGTCAGTGGGGACCAAATGTTGTTTTGGACCCCATTGAGTTTCATTGTATGAACAAAAAAGGTTGAAAACCATCCTTCAAAATATCTCCTTTTGTGTTCCACTGAAAATAGAAACTCATACAGGTTTGGAATGATATGATGGTGACTGAATTATTGTAGAATTTTCTACTTAGGCAGCTTACTATGTTTTGGAACAGAGCAACTATGTGGAGCTTATGTTAAAGCGTGTGGATTACTGTATTTGACAGCTGTTATAGAGAGACGGTGTGCTTTAGAAAACCGCCGGAGTGCAGAGGCAGTGTTAATAGAACGTGGCAAAGTGTGTGTTTGCATGTGTGTAGAAATGAGAGAGAGAAAGAGTGAGTGAGAGAGAGAACTGGATGGGAATCTAACTGGCACAAGCCGGGGGAAGCAGCTGTAGCAGACCTGATTCAATCAATTCATCCTCCAGTTATTTTGTCAGTCTGAATTAAAATGAGACCAAGCAGCTCTGCCTCCATCTCCTTCCTACTGCCTCCTTTTTCTGCCTCTTTCTCTCTCTCTCTCTTTCTCCATTTTCTGACTCAGGGCCATTTTCTTGATGTTTCATTTGTGAATTTTCTGTCTCATTTGCTTTGATGTTTTGTTGCCCTTCATCATTTCATCCTTACCAACCTTTCCTTCCCCTTGACTGCATGCTGCCGCATCTCAGAAGGTGGCAGAGGTAGACAGTTTTATGTCTGCTGCTTTGCATTGTGGGTATAATAAAAGTGTGTGTGAATGCTTCAAAAAGACATTTGAAGTCATTACTCTTTACTGCCATTAGATTAATATGGATTTCAGAGCTCGTGAAATAAGACATTTAATGCAGCTGATTAACATTAATAACATTGAAACATGAGCATTCATACATTTTTTAAATGGTTTAAAAGGAGTGACTACTAGATTTTCAATAATAATGCTATTATTTGGCAGACATTTTTATCCAAAACAACTGCTTACAAAACAATGCATTTAAGCGGAACATTTGATCAGTGCTAGCATTACCTAAAGATCGAACCCATGACCTCGCTTTACGCTCTACCAGCTACAAGGATTTTGAGACTAAAGTCAGTTGCTGTCATCTACTGTACCTCTCTCAGATTATGAAAATTAGAGGTAAAAATAGAAACCTTTGAATTTGACTTATTAATTAGTGCAGGCTTTACCACATTAATTTGTGGCACCTATGTTAGTGTTACGCTGAGTCAGAGGCGTGCGGATCCATTAGCAGCTTTTATTAGAATAACAGGCAGAGTAAAACAGGCAGTATTCAGTCAACAGCGTCACGTACAGCAGGGGTAATCCAAGAGAATAAACAGTGGCAGAGCGAGGGTCGGGGCAGGCGGCAGAGAATCACACTAGTAAGAACAGTCCGAGGTAATACACAACAGATGACAAGATAGGGGATAAACACTCAGAAATGTAGCCGGGGCAATACAAGACTTCGCAAACTGGGAGCTGCTTAGTAAGATACAGGTGTGATCTGTCTAATGATTTTGAATGAACCCACGTACCTGGGACTCAACTTCTTGCACGGAAGCCGAAGGCGAAGGTCTCTTGTGGAGAGCCAGACCCATTGTCCTGGGAGGTAAGCGGGACCTGACCTCCTGTGACG